CGGGAGCGCTCCGCGCTGCCCGCCGCGCTTTGCGGCAGAGGATGGAGAGAGCAGGGCAGCGCTCGGTGCTGTGCCACTCGTGCCAAAGGGAGGGAGAGCGAATGCAAAGGAAAAGTTCACCGCTCCTACGCCACCTCCTTTTCGCTATTTTCTTTTTTTTTTTTTTTTTATTTATTTCTTAATATTTTTAAGTGGGAGGAAAAAATTGGAGCTCTTTTACTGTCTAGTCTTTTTCTGGTGCCTTTGAATTTTTCTCTTCAAGCCTTGGAAGTTTCCCAGAGGAGCTGCTAGAAGTCTGGGTCTATTGCAGTTAATAATTAAAAGATATATATAATAAATGATAGGTAATGAAATCATCCAACAATAGCTGTATGTCAGAGGAGGGAGCTTCTAGCTTCACATGTAGCTTTACAAGATATTTCTGTCAGTCACAGGGAATGACTGGAGTTGCAATAGCATAATTTTAAAATGTTAATTGGCAATATGAAAGAATAGCGATTTTTTTAAGGTGAGCTTTATGGCTCTGCTTTGAAACAAGCACATTTGCTCCAAGATCGGAGTTTTGCCTCCTTTAACTCAAGTTTACTTTCTTAGTTTTTTACTGCACCTTGTGTCCTCAAGCTCTCCTGTTGCAGGGTGAAATACAACCCCTCTATTTGCTGCAGAGGGTGACAGTGATTTGTGAAGAATGATTGTGGGCTCCTAGCATCTACCACATGGGAGAGTAAACAGAGAACATTGAAAGCAGATATGTATAGACAGACAGACAGTGTGGGTGTGTCCAGCTGTGTGCGTGTATTTGGGAGACGGTGAAATTCCTGTAAATTAATTACTCTTTGAAAGATTTCTTTGCAGGTCAACGGCAAACAGAGTTAACCTGCATTTCAGAATACTCATTCCTTTATGTTTCAGTAAATCTTCTACTTCTGTTTACTTTCCCTTCACGTTTTCCAGTCTTCTCTCTGAAATGGCAGGCTTGTTCTTCACATTATTTACCCATCTCTTTTTGTAACCTCTGCTTTCTCTCTTGTTTGATTTTCTTTTCTTCTTCCTTGCTTTGCCTCCTTTGTCTCCCTAAATTCTCCCCAAAATTTGGTTCCTCTTTTTCTCCATTCTTCATCATTTAACTTTTTGACTTTGTAAACCCAGATAAAAAGCAATGAAAATAGTTTTTCCCTGGCTGTCTGGTTCTTTGTCACTAAGAGCAAGTGAACTTGGAAAAACATTTAGTTATTTTGCTGGCACATATGCATGTGAATTCATGCAAAATAAGTATTAATTATTAAGATTTTAGACCTTTATCCATGATAGTGATCAGCAAGGTACTGCCTGCTAACTGAGCCGAGGCATATGCTTTGGTCTTTTTCAAACACAATGGTAGCATGGTAATTTAAATTTTATTTGAGAGTGCACAAGGAACACACAGTGGTCTAACCTGATCTGACCAAGCGTCTCACCCAGAGGTTCCTCCATCAAATCTGTAATTTCTCTTGGAGTTGGACAATATATTTTAGAGAAACATCCAATCTTGATTTAAAGACTTCAAGAGACAGGAAATCCATCACTTCCGAGGGTAAGTTGTTCAAGTTGATATCTATTCTCATTTGTTAAAACCTGCATTTTTCTAGCTTTGGTTTCTAATGTTCACTGTCAGAGATGAACCCAGTATTCCTGCAATGGTATCACTCAGTGCTATTCCTGGAAATAATCCCGTCCTCCACTTGACCCTCCCTTGCCCAGACTGCTCAGGATCATTTTGGCAGCTGTGGAAAGCAGAGGAAAGGGAATGAGGCTATACTGTAGAAACTTTGTTTAAAAGACACAATGGGAAAAAAATAAAGAATTGCAGTATCAAAGGGGGAAAATTCCATTTCAGTAAGTTTTGAGAAGTGAATGGCAGATGGTGAAGTGATTGATCACAATGTTTATCTTACAGAAGAACTGGAACAGGAAAGGTAACAGGGATGTAATCAGGCTTAAGGCTGGAGGGGAGGAAAGGTGAGATAAGATTTTAGACTCTCAATTGCTCTGGTGAGTTAACTTTGTCTGATTGCCAGGTCCCTACGAAGCTGCTCTCCCATTCCCAAAAGGAAGGGGGTGAAAAATAAGGTGAAAAAGCTGATGGCTCATGGTAAAGACAAGGAGATCACTCACCAGTTACTATCACAGGGAAAGCAGACTCAAACTGGGTAAAGGTAATTTAATTTATTGCCAGTAAGGAATAGAATAGGATGGCAAGAAACAAAGACAAAACTATAAACACAACCCACACACACCTCTCTTACCAGGCTCAACTTCACTCTCTTCCATGACTTTTCTCTCTCCTCCTCCTGAGCAGTACAGAGGTGCCACCAAGCATCACTGATGGCCTCAGATTTGGGCAGCCATGGGTCTGTTTTGGAACAGGATGAAACTGGCTCCTTTTGGGAGCTTGTGGTGTTCTGTGACAGAGGCCAAGCCTGCAGCACACCCTCCCAGCCCAGCCTGGCCACACAGACCAGTTTAGCTGTGGCTTGCCAAGCAAGAGGAGACCAGAAGGAAGAGCCTGTGTGTTCTCCTGGTGCTGCGCTGAAGCCACTCCTGAGCTGAGCTCCCAGCATTCCCTTAGTTCCCCTCAGGCAGCCTAGGAAAGTTGTGGTGGGTGATTGAGGGAACGAGGGACAGGCCTCAGAATTCCACAATGAAATATCAGAGAAATTAAGAAATTAGTGAAAGAAGTTTTGTTGAGTGCATCGGTGGTATGGGAGGCATAGACTAGAGGGGGTCTGTCTGGGGAGTGCTGACAGTCCATGGTGAGGGCTTGCTCTGCCTTTGGGCACAAACAGCTCCTGTTGGCCTTGGCTGGAGGCCACCACTAGAGAGAAGAAGACTCACTCTGTAGAGAATCAGCTGAGGCTGACTATCTCTGCAGCACATGAATGACTCCTGCTGCAGAAGATGCAGGAATGTGACTTCCCCCCCCCCCCCCCCGGCAAGGTTTGGAAACCCTTGGCTATTTTCTTGATCAGATAGTCTTGTGCTTGAACAAAATGCCTGTAGGAAAAGACCCTGCAGGAACTTGAATAATATGAGAAGATTTACTCTAAAGAAGAGATGAAGGCTGTATGTTAGCTAGGAGGAATAAAACTGCAGAGAAGATACCAGAGGCATTCATCTTATGGAAATCCCGGAGGAAAAGCAGAATATGGAGGAGACAGATATCTAGCACCATGGACAGAGTGCATGTTACATATGTAGTAGATAAATATCCACATGCTGAAGTAGCAACTTTGACTCTTATTTATATGTTCTTGCATCCGAAATGCAAATTCCAGCTACAGCATCTATTAAAAAGGCATGTCATTATGTGTCTGGAGACGTGTAACTTTTTCAGAGAGGTCTTGAGTGAGAAAGGGAGAATGTAAAGGCTGTGCCAAATGTCAAGGATAGATTGTAACAATCAGGAGCACAGAGAAGAGGAAAGAATGACAATTTCACTATCAAAAGACACAAAAATAAAGATCCACCATCACCCCTTCCTAGCAGGTTGCAGGTGCACCGAGGCAGTGACAGCTTTAAAACAGACAGCACCGTGCCCCTGGCCTGTGTGCCAGGGCTCCTAATGATTCCTTCCAGAGCAGGAAAATGTCTGTGCCACAATAGTTCCCCATGGCACAGCCATCTGGGTACAGAGATCCATCTCAAAAAGAGACTCCTTCATTCAGATTAGTCTTGCTTCAAATACAATTTTCATTGCAGCTCTCACTCTGTGGCCACTGGAAATGCTTCAGCAATAAATAAATGGTGGCAAAACCAGTTGTACTTTCTTAGTCCTTTCTTGCCTTATGAAATGCTGTAGCTCACACATCTGTAAAATAGATCCCTTAGCCTGTAAACTCTGGGACAAGGCTATGTCTTTTGTGAAGTGCTAGGCAATAAAAAGTAAATAAAATACAAAGTATAATCATAGAATTTTGCTCATGTGACCTTTTGTACTGAATAGATAAACATCACACAAAAAGAAGATACAGTTTTCTTTCAGTAGCAGATCTCCTTTTCAGGAAATAGCTTTACTGCAATTTCTTCCATTTTGCAAGATCTTTTCCTCCTATTTTCATTCTTACTATTTTTCATTTATTTACATTCTGGGGTAGAGAGAACAGTTAATTATTTTTAATAATACTTCTCATTAAGAGTTTTATTTTGATACTGGAATATGAACTGTAGTACAATGCATCTGACTTTGAATGTGTTCATCCACCAGTCCTACTCCTTTCTACTGTGGTGCATGTTAACATCATTCTTTACAAACCTAATGACCTGAGGAAATTACTGGGATACTATAAGACACCATGACCATGAAAGGAGAAGTTGTTGTGGAATGAGAAAAATCCTGATTATAATTTAAGTTGTGCTGGTATCAGTCAGGGAGTTTTTTCAACCTGAGGAAAATGTGGTAACACTGCTATAATTAAAAATTGCCTTATTAAGTTAGACTCAGTGTCCATTTTTAACAGTATCTTATGTGTAACATTAACTGATAGAGATTTATTAGGAAAGAGTAGGAGAGCTGAGCAGCTTTTCCTTTAAACTTTAAGGGGCTTCAGGGAGGTTATTTCTGAATCCTCTGACCTCCGGACAGTCAGGACTTTGGGGCTTTTAAACTAAAGATTTTCTAGAGGTCCTTGTGTTGAAGAGTTGCCCACAGTGTTGTTGCCTTATGTTTACTTCCATGTCCAGCAGCATTCTATGCAAATGACTCTATAACCCCATACTAAGAAAGCAGTTTGTTTAGTTTGATTAAAATCTTACATTGTATTGACCTTTTCTTGGAAATTCTGAAAGGTAGTAATAATAAAAAAAATGTTTACCTTGCAATATCATTCATAGCTTTTTATATTGTTATAATGTCACCTTTCAGTCACCACTTTCTGTCTTCACATATCTTATAGTCTATACTACATATCAATCCTCCTGGTCACTATTCTTTCTGCTGCCTCTTATGTCTTTCTGAAAAACAGGACACATGAAATACAACACATTTTTTCAGGTGTAAAACTGGTTTCTGCTTAACTAATTTTCTTCCTAATCATTCGTAAAACATCATTTTCCTCTGAGCACGCAGACGATGTTTTCAGGAAACTATCCACAAAGACTTCCATATCTCTTTCCTGGGTGGTAATAGCTAATTTAGAGCCTATCATTGTGCATGCATAGTTAAGGGGATTTTTTCTCATGTACACTGCTTTGTAATTTTTTTATACAGAATTTCATTTGCTATTTTATTTTTCAATCAATTAGTACTGTGAAATTTTTCTGCAATACTTTCCAGACAGCTGGGAATTTGATAAAATAACAAAATCAGAATCTATTCCCTTTAAATTTGATCTCATATTCATTACATTTATAATGGCTTAATAGATTTTTTTCTGTCCATATTTATAACCTGGACTGCATCATGGGGTGTACCTTAGAAAATACAAAAGTTTGAAGTAATGTTTCTTTCCTAAGTACAGCTTATTGCAGTAGTAAATGCCAGGCAATTCTGAAGGATGGGGTAATTTCCTCATCAATTACAGGTGTGCTTGTGGGGAAAATGCAGCAACTTAAAAGCATTCCTCCTGAGCCCATCTGGTCTTGCTTATACAGGGAAAAAAAGATCAACTTTTGCTAATGCTGGTTTCTGCCCATCACCTATAATAATTCCTGAATTCAAAATGAGTTATTGCTAATCTTCTAGGTACTGGACAGGTGAGACCAACTTTCATGAAACAGGGTTTAAAATAAGTGTATTTCATTCTCATTTTTCATACTTACTAATCTGAGTACTTTTCTGAAGTAGCAAAGGAAGGGTTCCTCTGGGTATATCTGAGGAGTCTAGTTGGTATTCACCCACACCAAAAAGTCAGGTTGTTACCTGAAAGGGAGGGTACAAGTTGAGAAAGGTCATTCGCCCACATTCCCTCTGTTGTGGACAGGAGAAATGCACATGGCTCTTCTGAATCATGCAGTACTTAAAAATTCCCTTTTTTATCTGGGATCAGGACATTGGTTCTACATCTCCTAAGCAAAGAGCAGTCACAGTAACAAAGACAGCTCCCTGCAGGTGAACACTTTGTAGTGAAACTGAATTCAGTGTGGAATGAGATGGGAAGGAACCAGAAGAAAATCAGGACACAGAAACTCCATTTAGGTAATTACAGATATTTGGAATGTGAATTCTTATGAATAAAAATTTTCATTTCCTAAATAGAAAAAGACTGTTTCTTTGGGCTGTATTAACCCAACTAACTGAAACCAAACCAAAAACCAAAACCACAAAAACATATTAAAGCATCATACTAATTTCATGGCAAATAATATTTTCCTCCTAAATATTTTTGTAATTTGGGGTTTTTTTTTGCCAAAAGTTAATGGAAAATATTTTTCATTTTCTTACCAGTTCTCATTAAAATGTTTTCCCATAAGCTCTGGGACATAATCTACTCAGCAGAGTGAGGAAGATGTCAGAACTGTATAAAATATAGCCTCTGTTCACTACCCATAGCATTTTGCTGTATTGACCTAATTGTCACTTCTTGTGAAAAAACACCC